TTCGATCACAATATATACCGTACAACCGATTGCAAGATATTTTTCGTACATCCGCGGCGAGTACTCATTTACAAGTTACTGAATACTCATTGTCGATCAACCAAATAGTCATTTTCTAGTAACTAATATTCATTTTTCTACTCCCTCCGTTCTCAAAAACACTCTATCTTTCAGTTTTTTCACTTCCAACAAAATACTTTCCCTTTTTTATTAAAAAAAACCAGTTTTACCCTTACTTTTTCATACCCTACCTATCACATCATACTTTTTCTCTAATAATAAATCCATCACATCTTACTTTTACCCATCACATCAGGGGCAAAATTGGAAGTCAACTATAATTTTACACTTCCTTGTTTTGCCTTATAGTCAAAGTGGGAAGGCTTTTTCCAAACAGAGGGAGTAAAATTTAGTTATGTTTAGAAGCGAGTATTCAGTTACTCAAAAATGAATATTCTATTACTCTTAAATGAGCATTCATGTGGATGTACGGGAAACACCGTTCATCTAGATGTATGGTATAGATACTCGGTTTCGATGGGGTATTCATATTTTCGTGTGACTCTAAATTCGGTTTTGGGTTATCCAATTTAGGAACACAGTCAACTCCATTTGCCAGATCTAGTCATTCTTAATAAATTTTATAGAAATCACTCTAAATAGAACTAAAACATAGAGAAAACTATCAAAATAGGACTTTCATGTTTTTTTCTGAAATAGAACTTTCCACTGTGGTAATATGACTTTGCCCTGCTGTAATGTGGCAGTGTACATGCGCAAATTACTATACTTTTTTGGTAATTTATATGATCATGTATGGTAATGTAAGTCCTATTTCAAGAATAAAAACATAGAAATCCTATTTTGGTATATTTTCAATGTTTTAGTTCTACTTTAATTTTTCTCCCTAAATTTTACTCATTTATTTTTTATCTGTTTCTAAATAAAATTTGCATCTTTTTTTTGTTGAAGAGTGAGATGGTTAACTGTGAAGCAAGGACGGCCAGGAAAAGACTGTGGGCGGTGAAATCTGATTCTACTGAACGGTTCAAATCCAGGTAGTATATAGTACGCGTACTTTTTATTTATATATAAAGTGGATCGATCACAAACAATCAGAATCGCAACCACCAAAGATCCATCGTATCCACCATGACATCTCTATTTTTTTACCTTTTGTGTCCCCAATTTAATTCCACATTTTTTCTTTTTTTACTCCTTCCGTCACTGAAAAAAGAAGAATTTATACTACTCTTACCGTCCCAAAATTCAAGCAATAATTACTATTTCAGCAAACTCTTGATACTTTTGTTTGTTTACTCATTTTAGTAAACCATTTGATAAAATATAATATTCTAATCGCATCTCGTTTTGTAGAATTTTTGATCTATTTTTGAACGGTGTAATTTACTTTTTATTTCTCTATTAATTTGTAAATAAAATTATTTTAATAAAGATGATATTTTGCACATTGCTCGAAATGTTGCTTACATTTTGGGACGGATGGAGTACTTTATTATTTAAAAATTACAAAATATTTGTTTATTAGTACATTTTCATTGACTATCTGATAAAATAAAGTTTTTTCGTCACGTCAGATTTGAAGAACTTAAACTTATTTTTAAATATCGATCTTTTAATAAAATGAATTGGAAAAAATTTAAAACTTTATGTCGTTTTGCGTAATTAATGTGATATTCTTTTTGGGACCGAGACAATATTTAGCATAAAATAAATTTAATATTTTCTACTCTTTCTTTTAAATTTCATAGAGATAAAAAAGATAAAAATATGGATCACAAGTCAACTATGGTGTGAGTACTTTGAATTGAAATGGCTTTTAATATTGGTGGATCTGAGTAGTTACTTGTCACCCTCATCTTCTTGATGCCATTTCCTTTTTTTCCCAAGATAATAACTATTGTGAGTACTTTGAACAAGTTTGGTCATATATGGTGAATTGCATTTAAATAATTTTTAAAACATCCTAATAGAAGATCTAGAGAATAAGTTAGTGGGAATAATAATTTGTCAAGTTAAAGTTATAGTAGAAAATTTGTTGGAGTTATTTATATGGGCAAAAATGCAAATTGACTAATCATAAAATAAATTTATAGTTTTGCATAATGTAAATTTATATATATATATATATATATATATATATACACACACACATATACATATACATATACATATATATATATATATATACACACACACACATACATACACACACAACACACACATATACATACATACATACATGCATGCATACATACATACATACATACATACATACATACATACATACATATATATATATATATATATATATTAAAACAACTATTTTCAAACAGCTAATTTTACCAAACAATATTTTTAACAATCAGCGATTACATCCAGCCGGTCAAACTGGCTAAACTGCCAACAATCGACATATATTCACAACAGCTCGGATTAACTGCCAACAACCGACAACTAACATCCAAACAAGGCCTTTGTAAAATAACTTACATTAGTTAAATGAAAGATGAATCATTTGGGGATATACATAAAAAGAAATAAGATAACTTTGTAAAGATTTGGTCAAAATTTGAGAAATAAAAAACAAGTTTAAAAATAAGCTGAAAGTATTTAATTACTCCGTATTTATTTGACTTATAAGCAGCATATGCGCCGCATTATAAGCACCGAGAAAGAAGTCATCAACTGACTTATAAATTAAAATAACTGATAAATAGTTTTGTCCAACTCATAAATACAAAGAAATATCCACTCTATTCGGTATGGAAGTAGACTAAAAACATGATCTTACAAATTTGATACTCTCTCTGTTTGCAAAAATAATTCTTGTTTTGACTTTTAACAGAATTATTTTTATAATTTGACTTTCAAATTATATCTTTAGCATCAAAGAAAAAAGAGATAAATTACTAAAATAACTTATACTTCGGTAACTTATTACCCCCTTCGTCTCTCATAAACCTTCTCATTACACGTTAAGGTGTTTGACTAACTTTATTTTAAATTTAATTAATTTAATTGAAGTAGTACATAAAAAGTTGAACAAAACAATAGCTGACAGACTATATTCTTTTATAGTAAAAATAAACAAAAAAAAGTGAGTTATGTTTCTTCCTATGAATAATATATGTATGGACAGATTTATGGGAGACATAGAGAGTATATCGCAATGACTTTATTTAAATATATTAGTTATTTTATTAAAAAATACTCCCTCCGTTTCTTAAAATAGTTCTTATTTTGACTTTGGGACAAAATAAGGAAAGGGTAATTTTAGTTGACTTTCCAATTTTATCCTTGATATGATGGGTAAAAATAAGATGTGATAGTTTAATTATTAGTGAAAAAGTATGATGCGATAAGTAGGGTATGAAAAAGTAGGGGTAAAAGTGATTTTTTAATAGAAAAAGAAGTGTTTTAAAAAAACAAAAAAATTTAAAAAGGAAAGATTTTAAGAAACGGAGGGAGTAAGTGTTTTGTCGAAAATTAAAAAAATGAAAGAAGAAAGATAAGGTTTTTAAATATAGAGGGAGTAATAAATACAATAAGAGTGTTCGCGATCTCGTTTGGCATCATCAACTTTAGAAACGTCTCAAACAAATTCGCACCTAATTTAATTTTTTTTAAAAAAATTAAATACTCGGTGAAAGGCAAAATATTTACGGAGTAACGTTTTTGGGCCAAGGAATTACAAGTGGTTGGGGACAACAATAGTAATTAGCCAGTAGGTCAAATGAGTGTATCCAAATTAAGATGCAGCATATATATATATATATATATATATATATATATATATATATATATATATATATATATATATATTATTTTGGTTCTGGTGAGAATGCAATCTTAGGAGAGAAATGAGAATGAATCTGGTGCTTTAGATTGTGAGATCTAAGGGCCGAGATTTCATCAAAATTAGATGCACTAAAATGGTGCGAAAATGCATCACGTCGAAATGCACCATAAACCTTCGAAAATGCATTATCTCAAAATCTGAGCGCAGGATGCAATCTGAGCCGCACGATGCATCAGATCCGACGGCTAGATTTTATTCTCATTTCTCTCCACAAGGTGCATTCTCACAGGAACCGGCCCCTATATATATATATATATATATATATATATATATATATATATATATATATATATATATATATATATATATATATATATATATATATATATGGTACGGTACATATACTCAATGTATTCATTCCATTTAAGGAAATAAATTAATGAGCTGTTCACATTTTCTTTTACATAAATGTCTACCGGACATTTTTCAGAGACGGAAAAAAAGCTCTCTCTTATTATTCACAAAGTTAAATTCTAAATAATTTTATATAAATATTTTCATTAGGCATTTGATAAAAATAATACAATTATGTCATACGGAGTATTTAGTTTTGTAACAAGAAATTGTATTTAAATATATAAATATTTTATTTAAATTAAAAATAAATTCGATCAAATCACGTCAGTAGAAACCAGACAAGCAATTTAGCAAAAACCCCCTAATTTTGCTAAGGAATAGTGGAAGTGTGAATTTTTTATTTCCAAGTGGACATGCACTGCCTCTATTGTCCTATAAAAAGAGGCCATATTTGCACTGCTACATACCATCCTCCATAAACATCTCTCCAGCAAAAAACTCCATACACACACACACACACATCTACAAAAACAGTTTTTTCTTTGTAAGGTATATAGAAAAACTTGGTATAGATCTAATAACAGACATAATATAAGGGTGAAAGAAGGGTAGTTTGGGAATTGAGGTGGTATTGCTGACAGAAGATAGAGAGCACACATGATGAGATGCTAGACTTGAAGAAGAAGAAGAAGAAGAAGTTAAGAAAGGCAAGCAAATCTGGAAGAACAAAATAAAAAGCATCTCATTTCATTTGTGCTCTCTATCTCCTGTCATCGCCTACATCTCCCCTCCTCTCTCTCATCCTCAGTATATTTATTTTATTAAATCTTAAATTATATTTTCTCCCATACAACATTAGTAGTTAAAAGTTTGGAAATTTACCATTTATGTTTTAAATTCTCATTTTGGACATTATTTTAGACTAATTTATTTTTATTATTGAAGTTCACAGTAATAAGTTTGTGATATTTGTGAATCAACCATTTCTCTTATTTTATATTCTGTACTAGGGTAGAATATGTTATAATGAATATATAAATAGGAAATAATATGATGTGAAAGATAAATACATGATTTTAATTGAAAATGGAAGCGTTTTTTTCCCAACGGGATAAACGGTGAAGATTTAAATGTTTCAAGGTTTTTGGGAGGGAGGGAGTATATTTTTAGGGGATTTTGTGATTAATTCCTTTCTATTTTTGGAATTTCCATAAATGGAAATTTTTGCATGTTTACCTTTTTTTCTAGCGAGCGTTGCACTGTTGGCAAAAGATAACAGGTACCCAAGGAGCAACATACGTCAAAGTTGGGAGATTGACAACTGTGCTAAACATAGCCTCTTACCTTATTTTATTGACCGTCTGGTCAGTTCCGATCTTGAGAATGAGGTTCATCTTTTTTTTTTGTTTATTGCATTGCACTGTTAATATATATTTGCAGGTTTTTAAGGCTGGAACTCCCACCCCCACATCCCGACCCGACAGGATTGGGAAGGGGGTATTTGTGGGCTTTTATATTTGTGAGACCAGATAGAAGTGCAATCAATGGGACACTCCTATGACTAGTCGTCGTACCAAACTATGGTTGGTCATACCCTCCTGCAGAATCCAGATCCATCTACTAGAGGCACAAATAAAGCTTCACTTGTTTCAACAATCCCTGCAAAAATATAGTAATAATGGTTTCAGAATCAATCATCAGTTCTGTTAATTTATCATTGGACTGTTCCAATCTACTAGTAATTCTTGGGTTTTTTGTTTAGGGTTTCTGCTATTTAGCTTTTGTACTTTTCTTTTGCGTGCCTATTTTTTCTTAACATAGTTATCTCCCAGCGCAATAAACAAGAATCGAACTCGAATATTAGCCATTGAACACCGATTTTCTTACCAATTTCGCAACGCCTACCGGCCATATTAATGCATAGAGAAATCACAAATGGAAGTGTTGAGAAGGCCTTTCTTTTTAGGGCACCCCCACAAAAGGGAAAGGAGTGGTTGCATTTTGGAGACAGACTGTACATTAACTCCACTTCAAGCAGTGCCTTTGTTTGATTGGATTGTACCTTTGGGCCAATTTTGCAGGGTTTTCTTGGGCAAATTAAATCAGGGACTGGGAAGTATGTATGACACAATAATTACTACAAACGGAATGTGTGATTTGTTTAAGAGTGTTACAAAAGCCTCTTATGTTACTGAGTACTCCCTCTGTCCGAAAATGATCTTTCTATTTAATTTTTCTTTATCAAAGTTTGTAAAATTTGATTCTGATATTTAGAAAAAATATATTGTATTATGATATAAGTTTAATATCAATATATTCATATAGAAACGTAGTTTTAGAATATCAAATTTTTATAAAATATATCTATGTATAAATATAGATATTAATAATCAAAGTGTAACACTAGAGACCAAGTCAAATTGGGAAAGCCTATTAAGTTACGGAGTGTATTCTATGGATCACACTATCATGTTCATCCATTTATGCATACTTAATGTCACGCCAGTTTTTCTTTTTATCAAATCCCGTCATATTTCATCCCCTAATGCACTTCCCTTTTTTTATTTTCTTCTTTAAATACAAAATCTATTTTAATCAGAATTATAAAATTCTTAATAATATTAAGTTTGAAATTACAGACAAAAGTAAAATAAAAAAGTGATAATGACAAAGAAAAAAGACATTAAAAAATACAAGTACTCGATATATAAAGAAATACACTAGCTGATTAAAAAAATCAATTATCACCGCCCAAGTTGTCGGAACACTTCCAAGTCATTTCTATCTTTTAATTTTGTCAATAATCACTACAAGTTACGGAGTAGTACTTTATATGGGAAATAGACCTAGCAGAAAATGACCCGACTTGTTTCTGACCCGAGACCCGACCCAAAAATATTGGATTTTGAGCAAAGGTTTTGCTGATCGAACCCGAGATTGACCGAACCCGAAATTATCCGTTAAAAATGGGTCAAACCCGACCAAACCCAAACCCGACCTCACTGACCGCTAATGTGAGAATTTTTCAAAAACATATGCTTTAATATGTAATATAATGTTATAAAAATAAAATTTTAATTATATTTCTTTGCTTTCTACTCATTTTTAATGTATAAATTTATATTTTCATACAAAATTTTAATGATATCGCATAATTATCTTACTTTTTTCAAATTTTTTTGCATATTAAATTTTTTATTTGTAAGTATAATTTGGGAGGGATAATTTAGAAAAATATTTAATTAGAAAAAATTGTTTTTAGAATTGTTATCATAGTTTAAATGATAAAAAAATACTAAAATAAAGTACACTTAAGAATTGTTTTTAGTATATAGTTATTTGATGGACATTTTTTTACCGAGAACTACTAAGAGAATAAGTATTATTTTTTACAGTACTAATTGAAGTCTAATTAATTCGTAAAAACATCATATTATAAAGATTAATTTACTTAAATAGGACTAAAACATAATGACTTTCTTAATATAGGACCATATGTTTTTATTTCCCAAAGTAGGACCTTTGGTCATTATTTATTAGTCATTATTCAACTAAATATCTAGCATCACTTGGATATTATTATTCTCACTAGTCATTATTAAGTCTTATTTAGGAAATAAAAAAGTTTAAGTCCTATATAAAGAAATGACTTATGTAATTTCACTATTATAAATAACCATTTTAGCAATTCAATCTTTTCAAATATAAACACCCTAAATGTTTACTTCGAACCTTCGCTGAAGAATAATCTACGAACCTTTATTCCATTCAACGAAGGGATTGCCACGTTGTCTTCAAGACAAGACTTAAAACTAGTAAAGGTTATCTCTTCTTCTTTATCCCTCCTTTCTAAAATAAGGTCCCTTTTTTCTATAACTAAAACGAATATTATTTCTTTCCTATAATATCTGTACAATTTAACATTTTGTAGTTAAAATTAATAAATTACTCCGTATATGTTATTTCAAAAAAAAATTATTAGATCACTTTCAAAGTATTTTCAAAATATTATTTTTCTAATTAACGTACCATATAATTACTATTTAATTATAAGTCAATTGTTCATCTTGATTGACTACAAAAAAGTTAAAACTAGAAAAATACTCTGAGAGAGTGTGTGTGAAAAAGTATTTTCTCCTTTCTAATTTAAAATGCTTGTTTAGTGTTACTTCCTCCATTTTGAAAAACAAGTCCCCTTTTGAATTTTGACAAAGTAAATCAAATTTAAAATTACTTCCGTCAAAATCATTAACGAAACAAGCAATTTAGTTTGAGACGAAAGAAAAAAATAATTAGAAGAAAAAATATTTAAAATCATAAAATACTTTTTCCATTTCAAAAAACAATTCATATTTTGGATTTTGACATAATTAAGAAAAATATATTTTATAGCTGACTTTCTAATTTTGTCAATTGATGTGATATATCGATTTCGGGATTCTAAGACACACATGTAAAATGTAGACCTTATCACATTTTTTACATGTTGTCAAAAGAATCTTTTCTTATTTTGCAACGGCTCAAATCTTTCATGGTATTTATATGCTAAAAAATAATGAGCCCCATCTTCGAAGGCTTCTCAAACTCGGTCACATGGTGACTCAGAGATGACATAGATGACATGTACTCCGTATATCCTAAGATTCATATATACGTCATGACTACTTAAAAATTTACCCACTTTTTTTATTAAAGAAGAGACTAAAAACTTGCCCATTTTTTGCGGCAAAACTCAAGGGACAATGTTGTGAAAGAAATACCAATATACGTAGTATTCCACAATGAGCAATGCTACGTTGACAAATAGGATATTTACAAACTTTACAAACTTACTATTTATGGTTTAAATTTTCATTTTAAATTTAATTATTTTAGACTATTTTATTTATTGAAGTTCACAAATACTCCCTCCGTCCCATGAAACATGGGACTTTTGCTTTTTTGGAGGGATTTAAGAGGAGTGTATTTTGGTATTGAATTTCCAAAAATGTCCTTTGATGTGATTGGTAAAAGTATGATTTGATGGATAGATTATTAGTAAAAAGGTATGATGTGATAGTTAGGGTATGAAAAAGTAAGGGGTAAAAGTGACTTTTTAATAGAAATGAGAATTGTTTTGTGGGACGGATAAAAAAAGAAAGGAGAAAGGTTTCATGGGACGGAAGGGGTATTAAGTTTGTGAAGTTTGTGAACATTTTGTTTGTGAACCAAGTATTTTCCTTCTACAATAAAGATGTTCCTACCATAACATAGGTAAACGGTTTACCTCAAATGTACCTCATATAATACGGAATATTATATGAGGTACATTTTTTACATTTTAACTCTATTATAATGTAATATCTCTTCATATATTTTCAATCCATTAAATTCATAGAGTTAGTGCTGGCATTAGAGATCGAATATGTGACCTTTCATTTGGGAAAGTTATACCAATGTCAATGGACTACAAGGTCCTTGGCTTAATGAATATATTAGCGCAAAGTTTAAAAAACTCTTGAAAAACCTAATGACGTTGAGAATCTAACATAGGTGAGCTTTATCGTGAATCTTATAGAGTGGTCTCCCATCACTCAAGCAAAGATAAAAGTTCCATTCTATTCTAAATGCTCAGCATCACTTGGATATTATTCTTCTCACTGGTCATTATTAAGTCTTATTCAGTACAAATTCCTAGGGGTGAGCAATTTAACCGAACCGACCACTAAACCGAATCAATTTAACCGAACCGACCGAAATTTCGGTTTCGGTTTCGGTTTTAATATATATAGAAATTGGTTATTTCGGGTTTTCGGTTTCGGTTTCGGTGCCGGGCAGTATTAACCGAACCCGACCGAAAAACCGAGCCCAATATATGTAATTATGTATATTTTATATTTGTAAGCCCAATCTATCAATTCAAGGAACAAAGCCCAGTCCAAAACCCAATTAATGACAGCCCATCCCAAATATAGTGTTGCTGTCTCAGTATCTCTTTTGTGAGTCTAATCCCTAATAGCCTATTCCGCCTCCATCTCCGGCGATACGGCATCAAGGCTTTACGCCTTTAAGACGGTCTCAGTCCATCGACAGCCCAGAACCTTATAGATTTGGATCAGATCCGTACCAAGGACATCTAGCTCCATTTAGATCCTCACTGTTCCGGTTTCCAAAGGGAACGGAAAGCCTATGAGCTTGGGGAAAACTCCGATGGGATTTACATCTCTGATGGGTCGGTTACTTGAAAACCGACCGAACCGAATCGGTTTATCTCGGTTCGGTTTTTTCAGATATAAAAAAACTTCGGTTCGGTTCGATCGGTTAATGTGAGTCATTTTTATTTTCTGTTATTTCGGTTTTGGGCCGAAACCGACCGAACCGAACCGATGCTCTCCCCTACAAATTCCTCATTAAATTTTGGCAAAAAGAAAAAAACTTTGAAAAAAGTCTACAAAACATATACTCCGTAGAAAATTGCAAATTTGTATTCAAAGGAAACTACCTTTTTGGTCCTATAAATAAAAGCCATACAAACTACCAACATACCATCCTCCCTGAATATCTCTCCCAATCTCTGATAATAAACTCCATAAATGCATTTTCACATCTGCAAAAACATTGTTTCAATGAATATGTTATTATATTACATATTCTCCTAAGTGGTAGAAAAAAATCTAGACATTTCTTTTCTTTTGAACTTGCTATCCATGCTACTCTCATGAAGAGAGTGAGCATAAGTGAGAAAATGCTAAATTTGAAGAGCATTTCATTTCATTTGTGCTCAATATCTTATGTTATAGCCTTCATATCCACTTGTCTCCTTTCATCGCATCTCTTTACAAATTTTTAAATATATAAAATATAATCATTCTTTTTTATCATATATATCTGGAATAAGAGAATGGATGGATATATAAGGAAAGCGGGAAAGGGAGTTTGGAGTGGTATTGTTGACAGAAGAGAGTGAGCACATATGACGAAATGCTAAACTCGAAGAACATTTCCTTTCATTTGTGCTCACTATCTTCTGTCATAGCCTTCGTACCCACTCCTCTCCTTTCATCGCACGCACTTTTTTACTAACTTTTTTAAAGATTTTGCCATATATTCATTCTTTTAAATGTTTTATATTCTAAATAAGGATAGATAGAAATATAAGGAGAGCGGGTAAGGGAATTTGGAGTGGTATTGTTGAGAGAAGAGAGTGAGCACATATACATATGATGAAATGCTAAACTTGAAGAGCATTTCCTTTTTTTGTGCTCACTATGTTTTGCCATAGCCTTCGTACCCACTCCTCCCCTTTCATCGCACTTATTTACTATTCTATTATGATTTTGTCATACAATCATTTATATATATATATATATATATATATATATTCAAAATAAGGATAGATAGATATAAAAGGAGAGCGGGGAAGGGAGTTTGGAGTGGTATTGTTGACAGAAGAGAGTGAGCACATATGACGAAATGCTAAACTTGAAGAGCATTTCTTTTCATTTGTGCTCACTCTCTTCTGTCACAACCTCCTTCGTACACACTCCTTTCGTCACACTTCTTTACAAATTTCTTTTAATATTTTGCCATATAATCATTCTTTTTAATTATGTATACTCAAAATATATAATGATAGATAGAAATATAAGGAGAGTGGGTAAGGGAGTTTGGAGTGGTATTGTTGATAGAAGAGAGTGAGCACATATGACAAAATGCTAAACTCGAAGAGCATTTCCTTTAATTTGTGCTCACTATGTTCTGTCATAGCCTTCGTACCCACTCCTCCCCTTTCATCGTACTTCTTTAATTTACTATTCTCTTATGATTTTGTCATATAATCATTCTTTTTAATTATATATATTCAAGATATATAAAGATAGATTGATATATCATGAGAGCGAAGAGGAGAGTTTGGAGTGGTATTGTTGACAGAAGAGAGTGAGTACAAATGATGAAATGCTAAACTCAAAGAGCATTTCCTTTCATTTGTACTCACTATCTTGTGTCAAAGCCTTCGTATCCACTTGTCTCCTTTCCCTGCATTTCTTTACAAATTTTTTTAATAGTTTGCATTTCTTTATGAGATTTACCTAAATAAGAATAAAACATAATTACTTTCTCAATATAGGAACATATATTTTTATTTTCCAATGTAGAACCATTGTTAATTATTCATTAGTCATTATTCAAGTAAATATTGACAATCACTGGACATTATTAAGTACTATTTAGAGAAGAAAAAAGTTATACATACATTAGAAAAAAACTTATGTTTTAACTTTATTTAGTGCAAATCTTTCTCTTTTTAATTATATATATTTAGAATAAGTGGTTAATATCCGAGGAATAAGGATAGATAAATATATAAAGAGAGCGGGGAAGGGAGTTTGGAGTGGTATTGTTTACAGAAGAGAGAACCAAATGTAAAACTCGATCGCGAAGAGCATTTCCTTTCATTTGTGTTTCTTGTCTTCTGTCATAGCCTTCGTATCCACTCTTCTCCTTTCATCGTATTTCTTTACTAATTTTTAATAAAATATTTCCATATAATCATTCTTTTTAATTATGTATATATATTCAAAATAAGGATAGATAGATATATAAGGAGAGCGGGGGAGTTTCGTTCATCTATTATTGTTGACAAAAGAGAGTGAGCATATATGACAAAATGCTAAACTTGAAAAGCATCTCCTTAATTATTCATTCGTGCTCACTATCTTCTGTCATAGCCTCTGTATCCTTTCACTGCTGTTGATTACTAATTTTTCTAATATTTTGCCTCTTTTGAACATTATATATATTTAGAATAAGTGGTTAATATTTGAGGAATAAAAATTGTTTCATTCGTGCTCACTATCCCCTTTCATCGCACTTATTTACTATTTTGTTATATGATTTTGTCATTTAATCATTGTTTTTAATTTTATATATATATATATATATATATATATATATATATATATTCAAAATAAGGATAGATAGATATAGCAGGGAAGGGAGTTTATTTGGAAATTGAAATGGTATTAGGACAATAGAGACTGAGCACATATGATAGCCTTCGTATCCACCTTTCTCCTTTTACCACATTTCTTTATTTTTTAATATTTTGCATTGAAATTATTCTTTTTAATAATAGATACTTACAAGTTACAATAACTACTTGATACCTGTCCAAAATGAAAAAATAAAATTAGTCCGGTCCAAAATTTACTTTTGAATCATATTTTATTATTTTAGAATACTTATGTTTCAAAATTAATGATGAGTTCAAAAATATTGGCCCTAAAATTTCAATTCAAGGACCTTGTGCGGTTGCTCACTTTTGCACACCCTCCAGGCCACCCGTGAAGGAGAGTGGGGAAGGAGGTGTTTGGGTGGTATTCCACAATGTTTCAATTTTTGATATTATATACTGATATAATTTGTACTTTTCCTATTTTGACTCCGACATTAGTCTTTTTTCCTTATTTATTTAAAGAAAGTTATTACTCCCTCCGTCCCGCTATATTCGTCTACTTTTGACTTTTGGAGTTGTTCATCTAAGCACTTTGACTTATCAAATTCTCTCAATGTGTAAGCCTAAATATAGTCATGTGTGATCTTGTTTGATTTGTCTTAACATATAGATTATTAATATATAATTTCTTTAATTTTTTAATATACAAATTACAAAATAAAATGGATTAAAGAAGTGTATTGGATGATGTGTAAAAATGAAAGTGGACAAATAATCTGAGACGAAGGGAGTAATTCCCAAGAAATAAGGACATCCATCTTTGATGGTAAACTAAAGGTTCCTAGCTGGTAACTTGGTAAGTCAGTCCCATCATTCGATAGTTGCATTTCCGTGTTTTGTGGGGGATCCCCAAATCCTATTAGGTTTTCTTTGACTCACTGTTTTTTTTAGAAAAGGTTTTCTTGACTCACTTTTGAATCGCATTATTCTATATTTCTATCCAATCCAACGCTGAATCAGAAAAGCAATTGGGCTACGGTTAACCGGACGCACTCGCAATGGTTGGATCGGGTCAATGACTTGGTAACGACAAGTCGGTCAATTAAATTATTATTCAAATACATTAAGATAGCGAGTTTTTTGTTCACTTACTCTTGAATTTGTTTGAAAAATATACGGATTTTTCCTGAATTTTAAAAATCATACCAATGCCCCTTAACTTTTAAGAATGGATTTTAAAAATCATACCAATCATACCAATGCGACAATGCCCCTGAATATACGGATTTTTCCTGAACTTTAAAAATCATACAAAAATGATAAGTTAATGATGTTTGTGGCAATTTTGGTTTTTAAATCTAGCATTATATGGAAGGTTTCTTGAATTGATTTATTTATTAAGAACATTGTATCTAATTTGGTGTTATGATGAGCAAATATTTGGAGAATTTTTCCTATATATTCATGTTCCTTATGCAAATTAAAGTCAGTTACTTCGAGTCATGTGTTTGGATTTTGCATTGAGTTCTGGACTTAGAATTTTAAATTTTTGGATTATATCTTAAATATCATTATTATTCTGATTATCTCAAGGTGTGTTAAATATTTCACGTTTCAAATAATCTATTTTTACTTATGTGGTTGCTGAAATAATATCACTCTTTTTTACTTGTTTCATCTTCTTTATCTACGAGTTATGGATGAACCCCGTGATTGGTAATTGTTGGGAATTAAACACACAACACACACAAATAATTTGCGAGAAACGAGAGAAACGGAACACGGACGACACACAAGAATTTAACGTGGTTCGCTTTTCCTAATCCACGGCTGTAACAGGAAGATTCTATTTCACTTGTCGTGTCTCACGGAATTACAAGTACAAGGCTCAATATATAGGAGGGAAAAAAAACCTAGTGTTACATAACATGGGCTGGGCCAACAAGACAAGCCCAAGCCTCCACAAACCCAACAGTAATGTATAAACCAAACAATGAAAAAATAAACAAATAGATCAAGACGATTCTCATAACATTGAAACCTCATGTTATTAGATGATCCAGGCCGCTATAATATTTTGTTCGTAAAAATATTTTGATTGGCGTTAGTTAACGTTTTGGATAAAATTTTAATGTTGTAGATTAATTCTGAAAATGCTAACGCTAAAGGCTACAGTCAAATAGCCTTTTCAAAATGTCAACGCTAATCTCTAACGCTGATGCTAAACGGGGCCCAAGACCATCACGATGTTTCATTTGTAAAATTGACAGTTTTACCCCTTGGCATGGAAAACCATCCCACCTCATCCGACCAGAACACACTCTAAAATTTAATTGAAATTCTATCCAAAAGAGGACTCATCCTCGTAGTAAGGAATAGGAAGGGTATGGAGCAAAATCTTATCCTAACGACCGTAGGGCACAAAGCTGTAATGTCTAATGATTTCTTCTAATCCAAACAGAGACTGAGAATGAATTATTACTCCTGTCCGTACCCTCAGCCAGATAAAGAATCTTTATTTGCCATTTCGTTTTTTTACCCATTTGTTTCTCATTAATAATTTTAATTTGATTTCACGAAGTTTAAAAATATTAAAACGTAAAATAAAATGGTTAAAATGGAAAGGAATGGCAAAAAATAAAGATCACATTATTTTTTTACTTTATTAGAATAGTAAAGAAGTGAGAAAATCATTTTTCTAAAAAATAAAAAAAGTAATACCATTAATTAAGAACCGATGGAGTATTTATTTCAAAATAAATTTTACTAATATTAACCTTTTTTTTAAGAAAAAAGTGTATACAGTGTAAGAGTTTTTTCATCCCAAAAGTTTTTTATCACAAATTATAAAAAAATTATACTACGTATTTATTTATACTATAAATTTAATACAATTGAATTCATTTTAAGATATAGTTTTGATATATCAATTTTTTATAATAGTTTAACAAAAACAAAATTAAAAGCCTTTGTTTGGGACATCTCAAAAAGAATTTCTTTTGTAATGTTTCAAAATAAAATAGAAAGAGAAACTTTTAATTAAGTGTCTATTATGACTTTCTAGATATATTCAAAATCTAACTCATTCAATCATAATGTTTGTGGCTAAAATCCACCATTGGTCCTTCAACTTTATTAGTTGTGCACGATTGGTCCTTCAAGTTATAAAAGTCCATAAATAGTCCTTCAACTTTATGAGTTATGCATGATTGGTCCTTCAAATTTTAAAAGTGCATAAAAAGTCCTTCAAATACACGTTAGCCCTCCATATGAAATCCTTTTGACAGTAAATGTTAAAAGCTAAATGAAATACTAGTCTCATATAATACGAATAGATTCCACTAGGTACAACTATTCCGTATTATATGGAGCTAGTATTTCATTTAGCTTTTAACATTTACTGTCAAAAGGACCTAATCTGGAGAGCTGACATGTATTTGAAGGACTATTTATGCACTTTTAAAACTTGAAGGACTAATCGTGCATAACTCATAAAGTTGAAGGACTATTTATGGACTTTTAAAACTTGAAGGACCAATCGTGCACAATAGATAAAGTTGAAGGACCAATGGTGGAGTTTAGCCTAATGTTTGATATTCAATTGAAATCTATGTTTTGTAATGTCAGATTTTAGCAATAGTGTTTCAAAAAGGAAAATGTTTGGTTCACAAACAAAATGTTCACAAACTTCACAAACTTACTATTTGTGAACTTCAATAAATAAAATTAAATAATCTAAAATAAATTTAAATGAAAATTTAAACCATTAATAGTAAGTTTGTGAAGTTTGTGAGTATCCTGTTTGTGAACATAGCATTGTTCTTTAAAAAAAGCTATACAAAGACAGCATTTAGCGATTGTATTTTCAAAATTAATCTATACCATTAAAATTTTATTCAAATTGTATCATTAATAAAAAACTTTGTTCTTAACTATCTTCATCTTTCGTGAAACCAGCTAGCCCAACCCTATGAACTCACCATCTTCTTCTCTTTTTATCAAATAACTAACGAAAATAAGTAAAACAAGTGGTTAAAATTTGACCGTGTATATAGTAATTGAGAAAAACGTTTACGGAATATTTATAATTCCAATCTTATAACTCAAATTCCAATCGTTTTAACTTTGGGCAAAAATAAGGAAAGATTATTTGGATTTGATTTTCTAATTTTGTTCTCGATGTAATGAAAAAAGTAATATGTGATGTATAGAATATTAGCAAAAAAGTATAATATGTTAGGTAGAATAAGAAAAAATATGAGTAAAAGTAGTTTTTCAATAGAAAGTAGAAGTATTTTAAGAAAAACAAATGTTAGAAAATAAGAAACATTTCCTGGGCCAAAACCACAAGCTTGAGCTTTTGGTTGAGTTGGTTCCATGACATGCTAAAAAGACAACGCTTGCACATGAGGAGGCGTGTTAGAATATAAGAAACATTTTATGGGCCACAACCACAAGTTTGAACTTTTGGTTGAGTTGGTTCCTTGACAACAAAAAAGAAAGATAAATTGTTTTAAAAAATGGAAAGAGTATAATTAAATTTATAAGATTCATTAAAAAAAATCGTCAAAAATAACGAATACCGGAAGTAGGGACTATTTTTTTATTATTAAATTGTGCTGTAAAAGTAAAAAATTCCTCAAAATATTTAAATATTCCGTATTCAATAAAAAAATACCCTGAAAAAACACAGATAACCATAGTTTTTTTTGCAAAAACAAATATCCATTTAATTAAACGGAATTTAACAAAAATATTTGAATCAATAATACGGCCCAAAAATATTACGCCTTAGATGGCATGATGCAAACCCTAATCCGAGGCTCTATCGTACTCATATTTTAATTAATTACTACTAAAATATGTGTTAAGTTTTTTTGAAGTAGAATAATGTTTTTTTTGTAAGTTAAAATTATTTTGATTATTTTTACTATTAGCCTGAATATAATTTGACTGGAAATGCTAAAGGGCGTGTTTGGAAGTGTACCATCAAACATGTCTCCCTTCTGTTTCTTGTAGCCATGGCTTCCGTGTTTTCTCCACTGCCAACAAACACATCTATAGATTTTTGTAAGATCTGGTAAAAAAAAGAAAGAGAATGAGTAAAAAAAATAAAAATGTTTGGAGTAAAATTTATTGGAGGAGAAAGTGTGAGGGATGGATGGGAATAATAACCCTAAACAGCCTGAGACAAAGTGGGGGGACATTATTGGGCAAGTGGATAAGGATAGGAAAGGAGGTTTGGTCAAATTAGGTGAGACCATTTGGGTTAAAATACACACCATGTGTCCTTGTTTAATTGGCACACAAAAAGAGGAATGATTGACACATGGAGGTGGAAAATTTTAAAATACTCACTTGAAAATTTTAGAAAAAAATATCCAGAAATAATTTTAAAACACCCACTTTGCCGGTCTTAAAAAATAATTTTACATTCACTACTACTACGTACTCCCTCCGTTTGCAAAAAGACTTCCCATTTTGATTTGAGGCAAAAATAAGAAAGTGTTAAATTATAGTTGATTTCCAATTTTGCCCCTGATGTGATGGGTAAAAGTAAGATGTGATGGATAAATTATTAAAGAAAAAGTATGATGTGATAGGTAGGGTATGAAAAAGTAAGGGTAAAAGTGATTTTTTAATAGAAAAAAGTAGTGTTTTGTTGGAAGTGGAAAAAATGAAAGAGGAAGTGTTTTTGAGAACGGAGAGAGTATTAAATAACTTCCATCCATTATGTCTATAATAATAATAAGAGCAATGCTAGGGGTACACCATACACCAAAGGTGTACCCCAAATGTACATCAACCCATTTTCCATCATCCATTTTTATTTGATTTATATTTATTTTTCTTTTAAATTTCTTGCCTTTTTATATGGACTAGGAGGGGTGGGGGACATATGGAGTACACCAAAGCTTGGGGCGGAATTCCCCTGCTTTTAAGAATAGAATCTATTAAATTGGTAGTTTATGAAGACGAAGGACAACCGTAGATCTAATGAAATCAATGGTACTGAATGAATGTGCTTTGGGGCGGGAAAAGCTTGGGGCGGAATTCCCCTGCTTGGGGCGGGAAAATGGCTGGGGCAACCGTAGATGTTAATGCTTTTTCCTAATTATGACCCGTGCAACGCACGGGCGTGATACTAGTAATAATAATAATAATAATTAATAATTAAATCACCATGCACATTACGAGACCAAACAGCCCCATGGAGAAATTGAAGGATGAACTCGATCCATGTAAAATCGTTTATTAACTTTCGCGATATATTTAATTTATTGATGGATACAAAAAATAGATTCTTCAAACGCTCAATTTGAAGTTCCAGACGTAATTATGCTCGAATTAGATCTTGAGCAGGGTCATTTGTCTCCCACCCCTCTCTTCACCACTCAATTTTATTTTATTTTTATTTATTTAATTTTTTTTTAATTTCTTGCCTTTTTTTTGTGGTTATGGAGGGGTGGGGGACAAATGGAGTACACTTTTGATGTACCCCTGACATTTTTTTTAGATCTTTCATAATATATTTTGCTCTATTTTCCATCTTGTACAATGATATTTGATTACTAGCATCACTCCCGTGCGTTGCACGGGTCATACTTATATTATTAAATTAAGATCATTTCTGAAGGATACAATTTCTTATCTAATACTCCCTCCGTCTCTGAAACATCTCCCCCTTTTATTTTTTCTTTATCCCACAAACTCCTTCCTTTTTCTATTAAAAAATTACTTTTGCTCCTTATTTTTTCATACTCTATCTATCACATCATACTTTTTACTAATAATCTATCTATCACATCTTACTTTTATCAATCACATCAAGGGTATTTTTGAAAATTCAACACCAAAATATCCTCCCTTAATTTTCCAAAAAGTCAATAAGGAAACTTCTTTCGGGACGGAGGGAGTAGAATATAAATATTTTATTATTTTAAGGTATAAAATTTAATTGTTTTACAAATAACGAAAGACTTTTTTATAAACTACAGTACTCGTATACTAATTTTTATATATCAAACTTTTAAAAATTTATTTATTTAAAGACTTCTTCATGATTTTCTAATCCGAAAGCATGAATCTTATTTAAGAACTCAAGAGAGTGTAAGTCATTCAAAATATCATATTTTTTTATTTCCATGCATCTAATTTTTTCTGGGTAAGTTATTAATTAGTGGTTGATTGTTCAACATATAAAGGTATATATTATTCAATATGTTTCCATGTATTAAAGGCACACCTCTTAAAATGATATCTCCATAAAACATTTGGGCTTGGATCTCTAAATGGAAATATTATTTAATTGAAAGCTTATTTGGTTAGAATTATTACACGATAATAATAAGTAAGTAAGATAATATTATTACACAGTATATTATTATTATTATTATTATTCTTTCATGACAATAAATTAATAATGATTAAATACATTAATATTATTGCACGATATATTAGTATTATTATTTTTTCTACACAGTAATACATAATTTATGATTTAATTACTATTTCTATATTCAACACTTAACATATGTGCCACCATTTCTATGTATTACTTTGGCATTTTTTTATGTTTAATTTCTTTTATTATTTTTTATTTTGACTTTTTTAATTGTGCCTTCCTTAAATGCATAAACTTATATATTTAAATTTCTTCATAAAATATTTGGCACCGAATCTCTAAATGGAAACATAATTAAATTGAAAGCTTATTTTTTAATAAAATGGTTTGTATGATTAAAATAGTTTGTTTCTTAATTGGAAATTATATAAATTACAAAACTGTAAATTTAATGCATTGATTAAAAAATTTACACCTTAACGTGATTATTACCTTTTATGGACAAATATTATTTTTAGTTGAATGGTAATCATTTTTTTATTATATCAATTCCAGTTTCATAAAAAAGTTTGGTATTAGAAAAGAAGTTTCTATAAATAATATTTTTTATATTTTGTTTCCTTTTTAGAAATATATTAGGCATGCAAAATTTCCTTTAATTTATCATTCTAAATAAGAATAGAGTAATTAAGTAATTATGCATGTGAAATTATTCTAAAAAAGAAACAACGTAGATCTTGTTTGCGAAATTAGTCCCTTGCTTTTTTATCAGAATTAAGTAATTATGCATCCGAAATTTCTTTTAATTTATCATTCTATTATTCTTAAAAGTATTTTCTTTTAAGAATAGAGTGATTAAGTATATAATTACCTATTTAATTAGGAATAAATAATTACTTTTTGATAAAATAATCAGGTGTAAATTATTCCAAGTAATTATAATAATAATAGTTATAATTAGGTGTAAATAATTACCTATTTAAAAAGGAGACAAAATATAAAAAATCTCCCTGTCCCTTCCTATTTATTTTCGTATGGGTAGCTTTCCTATTTTCGTAAAAGGAAACAAAATAAATATATGAATTATTGCAAAATAAGTATAATTGGTAGCTTTCCTTTTTTCCTCCAAATCAATAATAAATATATGAATTTTATACTGTGTATTTATTTAATATACGCACGGGATTTCCGTTTTTGTAATCACTTAATTCTTAAATACTTTTCTTGTGTTTCCCTTTTTAAGAATACGGTACTTATGCATTCTTACAATATTGTATAAATGTATTTCCAAATAATTAATACTTTTTTTCGTTACAAATTATTAATTATTTTCATTTTTTTCGTTACAAATTATAAATTACTAGTATTTTTTACCAAGGCATCTAACACGTTAAATCTAAATTATTAATAATTTCCGTTTTATACTTTTATTTATTAAATATACTCGGATTCTTTTTTAATCTAACCAATCATTTCCCTGGGAATAAATTAATTTTTTCCGTTACAATTATTATTAATTAGTAATTTATAATAAATAAATATACGAATTATTGCAAAATAAGTATAATTGGTAGCTTTCTTTTTTTCCTCCAAATCAATAATAAATATACGAATTTTATACTGTGTATTTATTTAATATATGCACGGGATTTCCTTTTTTGTAATCACTTAATTCCTTAAATACATTTCTTTTGTTTCTCTTTTTAAGAATACGGTACTTATGCATTCCAAAAAATGAAACTATCTAATTATAATAATGTATACATGTGTTTTCTTTTAAAGCCTTTTTATGCGATATATATTTAATACGTATGAATTATCTTACAATATTGTATAAATGTGTTTCCTAATAATTAATACTTTTTTTCGTTACAAATTATTAATTATTTTCATTTTTTTCGTTACAAATTATGGAGTATTAATTATTTTTTACCAAAGCATCTAACACGTTAAATATAAATTATTATTAATTTTCGTGGGAATAAATTAATTTTTTCCGTTACAATTATTATTAATTAGTAATTTAGATATAAAATTGTGTAATTATGTTAATATCGTACTCCCTCCGTTCTAAAATGTTCTTCCCGGTCAAACTTTAATCACTTTCTTTACCTATTTTCATTAGGTATTTGATAAAATAATATAGTCTTGTCACCACTTATTTTGTAGAACTTTTGATGTAGTTTTTAAATATATAAATTTTAATTTTTAATTTTACACCTACAATTAAATAAATTGAATTGAAAATAAAGTCGGTCAAACCCCGTAAAATGAACCGGGAAGAACATTATAGGACGGAGGGAGTATATAAATGTGATTCCTTTTAAAGCCTTTTTTGTTGTACTTATTTAATACTTATTTCCTTTTTTTTCTCCTTTTCATCCGCAGTAAATATGGGCCGTAGATGCATAGATTGACAAATATCAATGGCTCATAAGGCTTGGCAAATGGGCGGGAAAAAGCATGGTGGATAATTCCCCTGCTTTTAAAAATATGTTGATTGATGATAGTTATTCTCAATTCATATTATATGAAAATTAGGTGAAATGAAAAAAATAATATTTTCACATTTAAAAATACATAAAAGATTCTGCAAAACATGAGATACTATTATTATATTAATTTATCAACTGAGCAATGAAATTAGGTGAAAAAAAATTAAATCTAACCTTATAAATAGTAAACAAATAATTTAATTTGAAAAAGAAAAACTCAGAAGAAGTACAATTATGGAAAATCATGATTTAAACTAATGTTATTAAACTCGAATTGGACTGACCGGTCCGATGCGAAACCGTTCCAGACCAAATCTCTAGAAACATAGAAAAATCGTGTTGACCCGTAGGAACTCCGGATCCAATGGGCACGCTGGTTTTTTGCCAATCCGGGTTAAATAGCATTGACCTAAACCCCGGAATAAAAACACATGGATTGGATGAACCATATTGCATCCTTGTTTAAGTAGATACAAGAAGTGTCAAAGATATTACCAAATGAATATATACTACCTCTTTCGTCCCAATTCATAGTGCTTGTTCAATATTCACATGATTAAACTTTATTCACTTTCTTTCTATATTCCCATCAGCAATTTGTTAAAATAAAATACTATTGTTACTACTAGATTTGTAGATCTTTTAATGTAGTATTTTAATATGTACTCCGTAAATTTTATTTTTTAACTCTATACCATTTGTCATATAAAATGATTTGAAAATAATTCCAGTCAAGTATCGTAAACCGAAACAGACATTATAAATTGGGATGAAGGGAGTATGATTGGTATTGTAGTTAAAAGAATAAAGAATAACTAGTTTGCCAAATGGATACCTTTTCATATTTTTTTCTCGACTAAATGACACAAAATAAGCCAATATTTTCATACTTGTTGGTCTTGAACTTAGATAAACATCTTATGAATGTCAAGAAATAGACTTCTTACTACTCAAATTAAAAATGGAGTAAAAGTCAAGAAGTATTCAAAATGGACAAACTTAGCCAGAATAAAAGCCCAATCAATGGAACACAAAGGGTTTGAATAAGCAAATTTTCCCAACAAGAGGACTCACGAATAGAAATGCCCATCAACCCGAATATGATCTTAATCAACCTATGTTTAAAATAGTCAAACGGGTCATGTATAATAAATGTTATGACCCCTAAATCTTTAAATGTAATTTTCAATTAAAATTTTGTAAGATTTTTTTTTTGACTTTGAAAAGTCAATAAGTTTAGAAAATCCATAGAATACATATTGAGTTAGACAGACTTTTCTATTGATTTAGGTGGATTTCTTTGGGCGTGGATGTGCAGACAGTATTGATCACTTTTGAATTCGGTCTCGCCATCATCTTCATCAACCATAATCTTCGTATGGTCAAACTCTTTGTAATTCGGCCTCGCCACTCGTGATATGGGAGGAGAGTTTCTTGTAGTAAGAACACAAGTTCACGGTTGAATCTACAACTTCGTCGTTCATGGTGTTCTCGCCACCGGTACCAAAGATTGAAAGCCATGTACTTGAAACTTTCAATTGGATTTAAATTGTCCCGGCGTGAAAGACGTCTAGAGTTCCAATTGATATAGTGAAGTCAATAAAAATCTTCCATTGTGAGAAGAGCTTTGAACGAGTGATATCTAAGCATATTTTTAGGAGAAAATCCACAAAAATCCTTGGGAGTATTAAAATTCACAGACTATTAAATACCTCAAATTTTTTTTAAAGACTATTCTCACTCTCAATTCCCTGCACACTGCACTTCTTTATTTTTCACAATCCCTCCCGTCCACCGTCATCAACTCCAAGGACGGCAATTCAATCCAAATCCGTCCTTTACCAACCCGATTAAATAATATCCGAATCCGAAGTAAAAACATATACAACCCCGGGATGCTTAAATTAAATCTGAACATGAACTAAATTGGGTAAGGTTAAGAAATATTGAAACCAGGACTGAATTCGGTCAGGTAAAGAAATACTAAAACCCGAATCAAAACCCAACATATTTTTCCCCTACTCAGAAGAGGGAAAATAGGGGTAAACAATTTAATTCCTAATTGTAACTTGGAGTCCTACTTTGGCGCTTTTCTCTCGCGTAAAGGATTGTCCTAAAGACACTAAAGAGACCAAATATGACAACATTTGACTTTGACTTTCACATAAATTTCAAAAAAACACAGTGGAAAATCAAGCAGTAGCACAAAAGAAGTCGTCCCCATGTGATGGAGAACAAAACGAGCTAAATAACTACCTGCAATATTACTCAAGGGCAAAACCCAGAAAACGGAAGTATGCCACAAAAGAATAGGGTAACCCCAATGTTGTTGAAAAGCATTAGATGCTCTATAGAGGAGATTTTGGGGGCGAGTGCCGGACCAGGTATTAAATAAAGAAATCAGGCTATGCAAGACATGAACAGAATAAGGCAAAGGCCAAGCCGGGGGGGGGGGGTTGCGAGATCTAAACAAAATTAGATAAGGACATAGCAGGGCTAACCCTTGGGAAACCAGAAATGCCAAGCCCATATGAAGGAACTAATCGAGTCTTGGCCATGTCTATCTAATAACAATACAAATGACCGAGAATGATTTCAAAAACCCACACAAGTATTCAGACCTGATTTCATTGGCAATTTCTGAATCCGACATTCATTTTTGTTGACTCGTGATGCACAACTAGATTCCTTACCTGGTTGAAAAGACTCAAAGTGGAAAGAAATCTGGTAACTAGTTAAACAGAGAAGACGACTTAGATGAAAAAGCTGAGAAAAGAGTATGTGCAACTTCATGAGGCAAACAAGAAAAACCAGTTCCTCCATTCATAGAGATATCACAGCTAAGTATCTCATAAATATTCATTCTAATACCAGAAGCACACATCAAAAGAGAACAAACAACCAAGGTAAAGATTCTAGGAAGCAGCTATGTAAAAGCAACAGACAAAGCATTACTTTTAAAGGTCAACAAAAACCATCAAACATACGATGAATGCGCAAGTAATAGAAGATGAGAGAAAATATTTTAGTCTACCTCACGGTGACAATGTCATCAATTTTCAGAATCATCCGCACACATTCAGTAGCCAAGGAAATTGCACTTGTGCTCACCAAAAGAGGCTGCACAACGTTCTCCTCCAAAATGTTAGTGATCTGCCCCTTCCTTACATTGATTCCAGTGTTCCGTTCACCTTGTGCGTGTCTGTTCCTCAATTCGGTCACAATAGTGATTGGGTTCAGTCCAGCATTCTCAGCTAGTGTGTACGGAATGACCTCAAGAGCATCAGCAAATGATTTCACACAGTAACCCTCCATACCCTGTAACACCTTTGCCCATGCACCCAACTGTCTTGAAAGCTCAATCTCTGGTGCCCCACCACCTGCAATCAAGAACCTCTTCTTTACCAAGCATCGAACGACACACAGGGCATCATGCAAACTCCTCTCGGCCTCATCGATAACCAACTGATTGGAGCCTCTGACCAGAACAGATGCAGTCCTGCCCATATCCTGAATTCCAGTAATCTTCACAATTTTCCCACCATCTCCAAGAGATACCTCCTCCACCAAATCTGCATGCCCTAGTTTCTCCGCCCTAAAATGCTCAATATTTGCAATGGGCAAGCAATTCAAAGTTTTTGTGATGAACTCAATCTCATCTCTTTCAACATCTTTAATCACCATGATCTTTGCCTTGGAAAGATAATGTAGTGACAACTCTGTAACTGCATCCCTCAAAATACTCTTCTGAATCAACAAAACATTGCAACCAGTGGCCTTAATCTTCTTAATCATCCCCAAAATGTAGTTCCTCTCTTCCTTCAAAATCCTGTCCATCTGAGTGTAGTCTGAAATCACTATGCTCTGCTCAATATCTGAGAATCCTCCCCTTTAAACTTTAACCTAGTGTCGTTAAAATCGAAAGAGTTAAGCTCAGTCCGGTGGACTCCGTACTGAGTGAAAGAATAGTTTGTGATATGGGAAGTGGTAGAGTCATAGTAGTTGTCATGGTGGGTTAAAGAAGTGTTAGAATTATAGCAAATTTAGGTGTTCTAGACCAAAAAGTCTTAGTTGGTGGGAAAGCACGGCATCAACGGCTAAAGGAGCTAAAAGAGTCGAATACTGAGACACTACCTTACTGTTTAGCGCGGTGCTGGCGGATTTGACAAGGGAATCTCTGTCGGAAAGCTCAACAGGAATAGCCATTGCGGTAAGGACCTCTACGCTCTTAATGGATGTCTTATGGAGAGATTCCGACACAATAGTAGGGTGAATACCTGCTGAAAGCAGAGAGAGGCATTCCTTCAGAAAAGCACCGGCGATGACGACGACGGTAGTGGTGCCATCTCCAGCGACGATGTCCTGAGATTTGGACAGCTCGACGAAGAACTTGGCGGCAGGCTGGAGGACATCCATCTTATTGAGGATGGTAGCCCCGTCGTTGGTGATGATGACTTCCCCATTGGCCGTGGAGATCATCTTGTCCATTCCTTTTGGTCCGAGACTTGTCCGGACGGCATCAGCCACCGCTCGCGCCGCCGCGATGTTGGCCATGCGGACATCGTCCTTGCGCTTGTTGTCCACGAAGGTTTCTGTCTTCGATGAGGAGCGGCCGATGGCTGGGGAAGCGACTACGGCTGGAGACGCCATTGTAGATCGACAAGCTTCAGAGTGGAGTTCAAATTTCGAGCGATTGAAGGAAATGAGGCAAAGTGCGAAACCCTAACTCATAGAGACCTATCTACAAGTTAAATACTTGCCCCTCTCCAAATAAATTTTTCATTGAAACTTTTTTTGAAATGAAAAAATTTATTGTAAAATTGACAATTCATACCCCCTAACCCCGGAAAACCTTCTACCCTGCCTTGACTTATCGGTTGATCTTGACTCAAAAGTCAAAATCAACTTGTAGCGTGTAATTGAAGTGGGTGGGGTGTGTTCGGGTCGAGGCGAGGTAGGAGGTCTTCCGGGGTTAGGAAGTCCAAATTTATACATAAATAATTTTGCTCAGTTTAAAGATATTTTTAATAATTAAAACTACTATCTGCTGCTGCTGTGTGGTCGACGTTTTTTATTAGCGTTGGCTTTTTGGATAAAATTTTAATGGTGTAGATAAACTCTAAAAACGCTAACGGTAAAAGCTAATGTCGAATAATATTTTCAAAACACTAACATTAATCTCTAATGTTATTACCAAACGGAACCATAGAAGTCAACTGTAGACTTTAGCCCCATGAATAGAATTTGCCACACTCTTTAGGGCACTGGAAATACCCATGAAGTCCCGAGGCTTCAAATCAGGGCTTCTAACCTTCTCTCTGCCACGTCAGCTTTAACTTACCTCACAATTTCAGTGGAAATGGGTTTGAAGCCCCAAGGCTTCAAACTGGAGCTTCAAACCTTTATTTTTTACATTTTAAATACACATCTTTTAAAATTAAATTAATTAAATTTAAATATTTAGTTATTTTTTAAGAATTGAAACGAGAATATTTCATTAAAAATATTGTATTCATTATAAAAAATTACATTCATTAAATAAAAAAATTACATTAATTAAAAAAACTACATTCATTAAATAAAATATTACATTCATTAAATAAAAAATTACATTCATGAAAAAATAAAAAAATTACATTAATTAAAAAAACTACATTCATTAAATAAAATATTACATTCATTAAATAAAAAAATTACATTAATTAAAAAAACTACATTCATTAAATAAAATATTACATTCATTAAATAAAAAATTACATTCATGAAAAAATAAAAAAATTACATTAATTAAAAAAACTACATTCATTAAATAAAATATTACATTCATTAAATAAAAAATTACATTCATGAAAAAATAAAAAAATAATTGAATAATAATTTTTTTAAAAAGATGTATTTGTGTTGAATTTTAAAAAAAATTAATTTAATTTATATTGAAGAAAAGAGGAAAAAAGAAGGAGAAAAGGAAGGGAAAGACATTATCACGCCTTCAAATTGCGTCAAAACTTTGACGCGAAAGTTTTAATGCCCGGATAATAGGGGAGGGGGACGTCAAAGTGAAGATAACGTGGGCGGGCGTTTCAATCGTCACTGCTCTTACATTTTCAAACTTAATCTGCATTATTAAAAAATGAGTAGATCAGTAGAAACACTAACATTTACAGAGCATTAAAAAACAATATTCCCAAATGATGTCAAAATTAAGAAATGTTTGTATCAAATTGTATCACATAAAAAAACCCTCTCTGTATTTCGTTGTTTCACTTGTTTTGTTAGAGTAAAACTAATGGCTGCATTTCTCAAACAAACAAAACAATAATTAAAATTCCAACCTAAGGGGCATATAAAACCCAAGCTAATCGGTTCCCACTTCCCAGCGCTGTGATCTGTGAATCGCGAAGACGCCAACGGATCAGCCCGGAAGAAGTATCAGTGTATCGCTTCTCTGGTATGTTCTCTGACCAGAGGGCCGTCCCTTACATGCGATTTGTTTATTAGCTGATTGAGGGAAACAAATTCGGCGAAGAGAAGACTAATAGCGGGTTGGGCGAAGCTGCAAAGGACGGACGAAGAGTCAAAAGACACAAAATCTCCCGTGGTTCTACAACATTTGTCTGATTTAGATCTCGGAAACCAGGTAAACCAAAATTTGATTTAATATTTTGAGTTTTTGATGCATATAATATTTATTCTTTGATATGTTGTCAAGAAAATATCCATCCCCGTACGAGAAGCATATAGAGAAAATAAGACTTGATCAATTGACGCAGTCTCAACAGGGTGCTATTGAAGAATTCTTTATAAAATATGCTAATGAGGAAGAAGAAGAAGATACTGAAAATTTGATGGTTGAGGAGGGTGATAAAGATAATTTAGAAGATCAATGTGCTGATGGGCACCATTAGTGATAATAACGCTGCTGAAAATGGTTGTCAAGATGAAAAAGTAGAGAATTGTGCTTAGTTTGAAGTATATGATTTGAGAAATTGGGATGCACTTCGCTCCAAATTGAATGATATATTGGTGAAACATGGTCCTAAATGAGACTTACCAATTGTCAAGGTCCTAAAGATAAAGTATTTAGATTTAAGGGCCTAAGTTTAATCTGTCACACAAGACCCAATATATATGATATTATGATTGGACTGGCCTTGTTTCTTATGTTCACTTTGTGTGTTTAGATATGATGTGTGAATCTTTCATAGCTCTTAAATGTCAGTGCTGAATCGAAGATTCAGTTGTGGTATGGAAACCTTTGCTGCCTGATTGTGAAAAAGTAAATTGGATGGGGTAATTTTGTTGTTAGGTGTTACCTGATTGAGATATGGGATGATAGTTTCCTAGCTTCATAGAGAGTATTAATTCGATATTCGTATGACAGGACTGTATGCCCAATTGGTTGAAGAGAATAAGAATTAGAAGAATGTGAAGACTGCATGTAACTCATATTTTTAAAACTGATTTGATATTTTTACTCAATGTTAGAATAAACCACGACTAGTGTATTCATTTGTTTGCAGGTCATATTCTATTGGTTTTATTCTTTCTTTTTTTCCCTTTGAATTTTCAGAAGTACTCTCTTCCTCAATAACGTGTCATAAGTTTTACTCATTATCTTATTAATTAATTACATAACACTTCAATTGGTTACGTAGTATAATCTATAAGTTGTCTATATTGTTAGAGAATAAGTGGAAATGGCTGATAAGGACACAACTAATACAATAATTAGATATTTTCGGTTTTATGAACCGGAGAGGTGGAGAACACAACTCCATTAGTGGACTTGTTTCTTATTATTCTTAGTATTAAAATCACATTTTTCTCTATATTTTGGACAGTCTATATCTGTATACATGTCTTATGTCAAGCCCTATGTTATCTTGCAGCAGATAATGATGAAGGCCTGAAGACGAAGTGTTCTTATGAGAAAGAGAGAAAATGGAGCTAATGACTCACTCTTCATCCTTTCTTCTCCCAAACATTCCTCCAGCCAACGGCCGTGCTCTAACTTACGCACTTGTCATCCTCAACCAACGCCTTCCAAGATTCACTACTCTGCTTTGGGAGTAGGGTTATTTCTTTTCTCCTCTCTTTCTTGTTGGTATGACTGTGCCTTTCACGTATAGAACCATGCAATTTTCTGAGCATGGTGTTGTGGCCTTTTGTTGTAGAGCAGCAGAGCTTCATGTTTGTGCCGATGGTGGAGCAAACAGATTGTTTGATGAATTGCCTCAATTCTTTCCTCATGAGGATGTCTCTGATGTTCGGAAGAGGTTTGTTGCGATTTCACAAGTTTGAATGAATATATGTTGTTTTAAATATTAATTTTATTGTATCCATTATTAGATAATGGGTTGTTGATATATTGATTTGGATCTATTACATCCCTATTAGCTCCTATCTATACAATCATGCTAGAGAATAAGTGTGAAATTCTGAAAGATAAAAAGTCATCAGAAAATGCTAGAAGAGATGGGCAAATGAACATTTTTTCTTTGTGACTTGTACCACTTATTACAATGTGAGATCATTTTTCTGTAAAGTCATTTATTTTGTAGGTGTACCTAAGTTGGAATTTTTTGTGTGTGCTTTAAACATGACAAGGGAATAGCTGGAGGCCTAATTTAATGTAACGTCATTTTTGTGTATGGTTTTTTGGGCTATTATACGGTTTCCCTTTTAGTGTTTTATTGGCTTTAATTGTCGACCGACGATTTATCCACTAGAGATTTTTTTCTTGTTGATCACTGATAAAAGTGTATGACGTATTGGAATATCACTAGCCACCAAGTAGTGCCATACTTCATGAATGTTTCTTTATTATAGATTTGTTGTTCCATTGTGGATATTGCATTTGGACATTGTAGGTACAAACCAGATGTAATAAAAGGGGATTTGGACTCAATCCGAGATGATGTTCGAGACTTTTATTTTAGCCTTGTAAGCTATAATTTACTCTTTAGGCACTTTTTTTGGGGGGGTAAAGTTGCATGTGTGTAGTCACCCTAGTGTTTGTTTACTGCAACTCATAGCAAGTTTTTGTTCAATCTTATGTGGAATAATTTGGTTCAACGTACAAGAGGATAACAAATCCCAAGAAATTTACTTTCCTAGGCAGATGATGTTTTACTTCATTATGATTCCTATTTCGATTATTTTATTGATGGTGTTGAGATTTTTGAATTGATGCAGGGCTCAAAAGTGGTTGACGAGTCTCACAATCAAGACACCACTGATTTGCACAAATGTGTTGCTTATATTCACGACTTACCCGATCTGAAAACCCCAAATGTATGTTCTTTCTACACTTTTAGATTCTTCAGCCTCAGTAGTACAAAACCTAGATAATTAGCATCTAATTCATCTGCCGTAAAATCTTTTCACATTTTCACCTGCTGATCCCTCTACTGTTTTTGAAGGGCTAAGTCTATTTATTGATTTATATTTGAGATTTTATATTTAAAAGTTACAGAGAGTAGCACAATATGCGGTTGTGTAACATCTCAATCACCATTCACTCCTTTTTTAAAAAAACATCATATCTATCCTAAGCTCAACCCCTTTCAAAAACCTATATCCAAACTGCTTTTAGAAGGATGATTATATGCCTCCTTAGTGCTACTGTGGTTTCTTTGCTTGTATTTTTGTACTTGAGCCGGAGGTCTCCTGGAAACACCCTTTCTACTTCCAAATAGGGGTAAGATCTGTGTACACCCAGCCTCCCTTGTGTGAGATTCTACTATGTTTGTTGTTGGTTGTTGGCAACTTTTCACTTCAAATGTTTATCGGATCATAATCATGAAATTGCATTTGAATGATTTGTGGGCATTAATTTTGTTTTGTTTTTTTTTTTAAATAAAAAAATACTATTTAGTTGTGCATTCTTGTTGTTGGAGCACTCGGCGGGAGATTTGATCATGAGATGGGAAACATCAACGTGATCTGTCGATTTGCGTCCACCCGAATTGTTCTTTTGTCCGACGATTGCCTCATCCAACTTCTTCCGAAGACACACCATCACGAAATTCACATCCATTCCTCTGTGGAGGGCCCACATTGTGGTCTCGTTCCCATAGGTATGCCTTCTGGGTGCACAACAACCACGGGGCTCAAGTGGAATCTAGGTAATCATGCTTAACACACACATATATATACCTGAGATTGTTTATTTAGTTGCTGGGAGACTAACGAACCTCTGCTATTCTCTCTTTTAGCTAAAAGCGAAATGAGATTCGGGGGTTTGGTCAGCACATCAAATGTTGTGGAAGAAGCTGTCGTTACGGTCCAATCAGAATCCGATTTGCTTTGGACGATCTCTATAAAAAAGGCGTGAGTTATACAACATCTAATGTGCTTTTTGAGGATTCGTTTTGCTCTCCGCGTCATATGGGAGGGAAGTATTTACCTTTTCCATTGTATACCAAAGAGTTACTCTCTTTGTCCCATTTCAAATTGTCTGTTTTCTTTTTTTTGTCCGTCCCAAAATAAGTAGCATGTTTCTTATAATAATAAACTTCTAAGGGTAAAACATCTAAACTCCTCCTAAAATAAGTCACTTCTCTCCACTTTATCTTCTCATTCATCACCACTCCTGGAAAAAAAAGTAAGGCATTTTTGGAAAATCAACACTATTTTTTCTCTTCATTAAATATGCCATAAAGTCAAAACGAACAATATAAAATGGGACGGAGGGAGTAGAAAACTAGTGTTTGTGGTTAAAGTTTCTTAAAGTTAGGATTATAAGCCTTTGAATTAGGGTAGTCACGTATAATTGTATACTCCCTCCGTCCGGAAATATTGTTCCTATTTGACTTTTCACGGTCTCCAATATTGCACTTTGACCATTAATATCTATATTTATACATAGATATATTTTATAAAAATTTGATATTTGAAAACTACGTTTCATTATATGAATAAATTGATATTAAATTTAAATCATAATACAATGTGTTTTTTCCACAAATCGTAGTTAAAGTTTATAAACTTTGACCAAGAAAAGTCAAATGTGAAGAACATTTCCGGACGGAGGGAGTACTTAAAAGTACTTTAAATACCTTGTCAAATGACATTCATAACTTCATTTAAAATACATTTGGATTGAGATGATTGGATGGCTTGGTATTCTCTTCTGTTTTGTTGTTTGAAAAAAACTTTAATGAATGTACTACTCCTTTTGGGAAATTTGATTTTCACTAATTTTTAATTGCTTATAATGAAAATAAATGATATTCAAAAGAAAGTGATCAGTAATGAAAGCCGGTTGGTTAACTCCGGTTCCTGTTGGCGTTGGCCCATTGACAGTGGCAATGCTGCGGAAGAATACTTTGGTTGGAGCCAAACGAGCCGTGGAGACAGTGATTTTACACCGTGTTCATCCTCAACCTGTTCCAGAAAAAGCTCCCTGAAATAAGAAATGTAACTACTCTACACCAATGTCTTCTTTGCTGCCCCACATGAATCTCCCAATATGCCCGCATGGGCAGCTCAGTTGGTCAAGAGCGTGAAATCTTGGACCGATGACCAGGGATCGAGTCCCGCAAGCGGCAGTGTGGGAGCTATCCAAAAATCCCATAAAGGGTGAGGAGGCTCCTTGTGCGCGGTGGGCACGGGTCTAGCGTTCTTGGCCGACTGAGTCACCATGATTTACTTCCTCCACCATTCCTGTCGGGCAAGGGGGTGGGGGCGCCTGGGGTGGGCGATNGTTGGTCAAGAGCGTGAAATCTTGGACCGATGACCAGGGATCGAGTCCCGCAAGCGGCAGTGTGGGAGCTATCCAAAAATCCCATAAAGGGTGAGGAGGCTCCTTGTGCGCGGTGGGCACGGGTCTAGCGTTCTTGGCCGACTGAGTCACCATGATTTACTTCCTCCACCATTCCTGTCGGGCAAGGGGGTGGGGGCGCCTGGGGTGGGCGATTCCACCTTTTGGACCGATGAATCTCCCAATATATTTTTTTTTCTTTTGAACCTTCAAGACTCTTTCTCTGAGCAAGCCTCCTTGGTCTAGTGAACTGAGATCAACTTGGGAAATCAAACCACAGTCTTATGAGGTAACGCCAAGGTTGGCCCGGAGTGTCGCATATACCACACAAAACTTTATTGTCACACGTTCTATGCTACAACAACATCTCAGTAGAATCCCACAAACAATAAAGGCATGCGTGGTCTTTGTGAAACTTGAGGTCATTTTTGGAGTTACCCTAGCACAATACTTACAAATGAGGAGTTATAGTTCAAAAAAATTCCTTTCAATTTATACAGTGTAGAAGGAAATAAAAGCAACGCATTTTAGAGAGAAAAAAAATACACCATTTGTCCTAAAAAAATATGTGACACTTTGATGCGTAATTTATTTAAAAATGAATAAAAAAGAATGTCTACTGAAGAAACCTTTTTTTCTAAAAAGGAAATGTAAATAATTTTTAAACATGTGAAAGTTATTGGATGGTAGTTATGTTTAGAGATTTTTTTAAAATGAATTTATATTCAGAATATCTCGTCCAGACACTACGCGCCAGTGTTATTACCACAAGCTGACAAATGAGTAGGACAAGCGCTACGTGACAAGAGAAGTCACCTCGCACCGTCTAGGAATATATGCACACACACTTCATTCGTTCCGAAATAGATTATAATATTTTCTTCTCTTTCCTCTCGATAACATTTATTTATTTGTATATTTTCATTAAATATTTGATAAAATAAAATATTTTTTTCCTTCTTATTTATAGAGTTTTTGGCGTAATTTTTTAATACGTAATTTTTATTTTTTAATTGAGGTATCAATTTATAAATAAAATAATTTCGAAAGACGAGAAATCTTACCTCGTAATTCCCCATTTGAGTATGTAATATTTTATTGTTATTCAATCAAGCAAGAACAATATCAAAAACCTTATTCCTTTTAGCTCCAACGCAAGAATAATCCCGGCACAAAAAAAAATTAACCGCAAAAATCAAATAATTCAACTTTCTCAATTTTGAATAGTCGTCGTCGGCGGCAACGGTATCATTTTTATTTTTTTTCAAAATTTAATCCATAAAAAAAACAGTAGTTGGTGTAATAATAATAAAAGGAGAAAAAACGAACAGGCAAAACCAAGATGAACAGTTATTCATTTGACCATTTTCAGCCCTGTCCGATCAGGTACGCGAGCGGTCCAATGCGGTGCAGCCACGTGTCCCACGTTCCGACAAGGCGCATCGATTGCGGAGAGTGAGTGCTCCTCTGAGTCCTCTCTCACATGTCCGTACGCAGTGGTTGAGATCTAACACTAGATTTCCCCTTGGGATTTTTTATCCTACGGTTGGTTCCATTTTAGTCCCGTGAGGTCACTCCAATACTTCACCCCACTTCTTTTGTGCACGCCATATATCTCCAATCTTGCCGGTGAGCATTACGCAATTGGCAAAATCAGGGGTGTTAAGAATGTAAGACCCAAGTTTGATTCCTGATAAGCATAAGACCTCTTCAAGTATCAAGTTCAAAATCTACTCTTGCCACTAATCTGCTATTAAAATCTAATTTACTTCCTCTCAGTGGCCACCCGACTGAGTCCGAAGGGCCCTCGGGGATGGGGCTCATCCTTTATATATCTCCAATCTCCTCTCCATTCTTCCAAATTTAGCTCAATTGGTCTAACGAGAAGATGTCAAGTATGTTGGTTCTAAGGTCGAATCTTAACATGTAGTGTGAGAGTTTTATTATTTGTAATAGCTTCTTATGCACCTGGAGCACGGACCGACCGTTCTAAGGGCACTGGAAATACCCGTGAAGCCCTAGGGCTTCAACTCGGAATTTCAAAATTTCTCTCTCTGCCACGTCAGCTTTAACTTATCTCACAGATTCAGTGCAAATGAGTTTGAAGGCTCGGAGCTTCAAACAGGGGCTTCAAACCTTCATTTTTTACATTTTTAAATATACATTTTCTAAAATTAAATTAATAAAATTTAATTATTTTATTATTTAATTATATTGAAACAAGAATAATTAAAAAAATTACATTCATTAAATTAAAAGAAATTGAAGCGACAATAATTTTAAAAAATTACATTCATTAAATTAAAAAAATTAATTATAAAATGGGAGGAGATGGAGTTTGAAATTTATAAAAATAATTATTTAATTTTTTCTTTTTTTGCTTCCAACAGCTAAATTAGCCGTTATAGGGGGAGAAGTTGCGTCAAACGAATGACGCTAAAAGGATAACGCCACGATGAAGCCCCAGGGGAGCGGTGTTTAACGCCTCCTGGGCTTCAAAAGTATCATAACGCCGGTTGGCGTTACATGTATTACTAGTAGCCTAGGAATCAAATTGATTGAAATTATTCCATGATTTATCCTCCTCACAATCTTATCGAGACGAGTGTTGGTGCGCTTTCCACCTTTTAAAATTTAGTTCATGGTTAAAAGGTGAATGGATAAAGAGTGAATGAACAAATTTTCTTTGCGTGTCTGTGATATATTTGGTATATAAATTAGAAATATGATGTCAACTTGTGAAAAAAGTGAAATTCTCAAAGCAAAATTCAAGAAATTTAAAGAAGATAGAGTAAAATGGTGGGATTCTCAAAGCAAAATACATCCAAGAAGATAGAGCGTCGCCTTGAAACTCAAAGGAGTTAGATCATAAAATTCATCATCAATAATTGCTTATATCAATAAGTTTTGAGAAATGTTTGGTTACAAATAAAATGTTCACAAATCTGCTACTTGTAAATTTTAATAAAAAATAAATTATTTTAAAATAATTTTAAAGTAAGAATTTAAACGGTTAATTGTAAATTTGTGAATTTTGTGATTATTTTATTTGTAAACCTAGCGTTGCTCTTAAGTTTTTCCTCCCGAAACAAAGTTCTTGATTCAATAACTCCATTTTCCATATCCATTTAATCATTCCATAAAAAATTCTATTTTTAAATAAATACAAATTTAAATAAAAATTAAATTGTGTAATTGAAAGTAATGAAAATATAAAATAAATTACTCTTATCGTCTTATAACTATATTCACTTTAAACAAAATGAAATTAAACTTTAAAACTTATGTATCTAAAAACTAAATATGGTGATAAGAATATTTTATTTTATTAAATAATTAACAAAAAATCACAAATAAACAAAAATTATCGTGATTTTGGATTAATGAAAAAGGAAGATAATTACAGGACAAATAGAGTATATAGGTTCACAAAAAAAGAATCATAATATAGAGGTCAGAGTAGTAAGTAAAATATAAATACAAAAGTATAACTTTCTATACGACGAATATAATAATTCTGTATTACTCCATTTGTCCCGAATTAAGCATCTTATTTTAGTTTAATTTGTCTTAAAGAATTGTTCCATTTTTTTACTTTGCTAAACAAATAAAAAATCTACAATCTACAATTTTTCAACACTTTCTTTGAATTCTTTTAAAAAAGAAACTGAGATGACTAATTTCAGTAATTTGGGACTGGATGAAATATTTTCATGAGAGTTGAGGTGAATTCTGGAATTACCCATAAGACAGAGACCCTACTAGCATGGGCACTATGGCTCCTCACAATAATTCAAAATAAAGGTAATTGCAGAGTGCCCCCCCCCCCCC